CTGCAGCCAGATTTCTAGGAAGACCAGGTAAGGACTCTGGAATGGCAGCTGCAGAGAGAGCCCAGGGACAAAGATCAGTAGGAACAGAAGGCAGGAGAGGAAAAGAAATCATGGGCAGTGTTTAGTGATAGGAGCAGGACGCAAGGAGGCATAACCAGTGCAGGCCAGGGGGGGACATCTTCAGTCCCTACAGTCAAGAAAGCAGGCTCTGAGAGCCTCTCAGCATGGAGGGGTAGCACTGGGGCCATCCCTGGGCTCTGCCTGTCATCAGCCCCTTGCAGGTCCAGGGGAAATGTCATGCCATAGCTGTGGCTGACTACACTTTTGAGATCAGAAATGAAAGCATGGCCGGGGATTTAGCTCAGTGGTTTCGTCACCTGCTGCCCAAGCACAAGGACCCGAGTTCGATCCCCAGTACCAAGAAAAATGAAAAGAAATGAAAGCAAGTTAAATACATACAGCAGCATCATGAGCTGAAAAATGAGCACAGCTACATCGACATCACCACATGCAGATGAAGCCGCTACATCCTGGGGATCTGAGAGGCAGACCGATGTCACAGCAAGAGGTGATCGAAGCTGACGGGAACTGTCATTCATCTCACTGCTCTGCACCAAAGCCATCTTCCTCTCTCCTGCCTTTCTCCTTTCACTCTTTTACTTTTCCTGCCTCCTCCCTCCCTGCTTTTCTCCCTTCCTTCCATCAGCATAATGGCTGGCTCCAGGGCAAACGCACAGTCAGTAGAAACAGAACAGAGAGAAGGATGTCCAGACTGGGAGCAGGGACTCTGGACCCAGCCTGGATCCCCATCCATGGCCTCCATCTAGGGCATGTCGGGAAGTGACCTTAAAGGGGCCAGCCTGCCTGTGATCCCAGCAGGCTCGATTCAGAGGCGAAGGCAGGAGAAAACTGAATTCAATCTGGCCAACAAAGGAAGACCCTGTCAGAATAAAAAATAAAAACGGGGCTAGGAAGGTACCTCTGTTGGATTCAATCCCCACAACAATCATTTCCCAAAGAAAGGGGTGGGGTACAAAGGTCCCAGCAAGGGCTGGCAGATTCTGAGTGACAGCCTTGCCTTAGGAGGTGGCAAAGCAGCCAGCCATCAGTGAGGCCAGCAGGACAGGGGCTGATGAGCAGCCGGGAGGGAAGCACTCCAAACCAGTCTCTGGGGCATCTCACCCCAACTCAGGACCTGGCCTGGGGCTCCCAAAAGGGCCAGGATCAGAGCAAACTGCTGCAGGGGAGGTGGAGAAAACCTTGAAAGTAAGGCTGAGCAGTCCTAAGGAGGAGATGACAGAGGTGGAGATGCGGACTCAGAACAGGGTGCCTGGGCTCATCCACCTGCGGTACGTTCTGGCTCTGGCCACTGGATGGATTGGAGTTGGGGCGTTTGAGACTTGAGGGCACAGGAGGGCAGGTTTAGCTCTGGGTGCACGATGGAATGGATCCAGGAGAGAGTTTAGGTTTGGCCCAGGGGCTAGGGCGGAGCTCGGCATGGAGCAGACTGGAAGCTCAGAGGAAATTGCAGGGAGAGATGGAATGGGGAGCAGCAGGATAAGAGCGGGGTCAGTGCCTGAGGTCTGTGTGTGGATAGCGGAGGAGACAGTGAGTGCTGGAGGGAGGTCATGTGGCCCCCACACCAAACCAGGCAGAGGCTCTGAAGGGAAAGGACAGAGCCATGGAGTGGGCAGTGCAGGGCCCTGCATACTCGGAAACGGGCTGTCCTGGGCCATGGTAGACTAGGGGCTGAGCCCTGCAGGAGCCCTGCAGCCACTTCATCCAGCCCAGGGAGTCCAAGTCTCTGCCATCTCCCTGCTCACCTCATCTCTCACTCCCACAGTATCTGTTCTGTGAATACGGGGTTAAAACTTTTTCTCCAAGTGTCCCACCTTCTTCTCTGAACCAGGTAGAGTGACAGTGGGGATCACTGAATTAGTGCCCAAAGGATATCAGAGAAAAGTCAGTTGACTCGTCTTGCCTAAAAGTGAGGACCTGGGAGGGACAGGGGTTTGTTGATGCTACACTGCATCTATGAAGAAGGAGGAAGGAATTTCAAGCCAAGGAATGCAGAGAAGGCAGCTCCAGAAGCTGGAAAAGCCTGGGAAGGGGATTCTTCCCTAGGCAACACCAGGAAGCAGAGCCCTGGGGACTCTGGTCTCAATGAGGTGAAACTGATTCAAACTTAGCCCTCCAGAACTGGAAGAGAATACATTGTGCACTGTTTCAGGGTGGTGGTGTGGGGTGACTTGTTACAGTGGCAATAGGCATCTAAAGCCTCCAGCCACACAGGGAGGAGACACAAAGTCCTGTTAGCGACCTGAGAGTCTGATTCTGAAAGACCTAACAGGAGCAAAGGGTGATGGGAAGCTGCCTTGCTTGGGCCGAGGTAAGTAACTGAATCAACTGCCCAAAGGGGATCCCAAGGGCCAAGGGTGACGGGGAAGCTTCTATCCACTGGGCCAGGCAGTGGGGCTGTGGGCAAAAACTCCAGGCTCGCTCCTGACCCTAGAACTTCCCTTGGTCAGGCACAGTCCCCATCCCAAGTCAGAATCCTAGCTGGCATCTTGCTTGTCTCTTCCTGGAGCCTGCCCAGACTTCTGACACGATCTGGTGAACCTGGGTCTCAGGCCTGTTCTGTGGCCTGGAAGGCCGATGTGAGGGCTGTCCTTGCAGGGGCATCTCCACGTCTCCCAGCCAGAATGAAAGAGGCAGCGTGTTTGTGTGGGCTGGAACGCTGGAGCCCCACTGTTGTAATTGCCCTGGCAAAGGGAGAAGAAGCAGGAGGGATTCCTGTGTGTCGTGCACACCCGGCAAGATGACAGCTGTGGCCAAGGTGGAGACAGGGGCTGTGCACAGGCCCAGCCATGTGAGTCTTCTCTCGGGGGCCTGGGTTGCTGGCAGCATATCCCCCACCTAACCCAACCCTGCCCTGGCTTCAGAATGCACCCTTGGGTGGTCTGCACGTCATCATGTTCAAGGCATCATCCGATAGGGTCAGCATGGACCCGATCCCACCTCAAGAGAGGACAGCAGGTTGGGCACCAGGCCCATAGGGTGCCTCACATCCTGTCTAGAAGAGGCCCCTGCCTCTGCCCTGCCCACCGTGCACCTTCCTGTCTTGGTCACCATCTCCTCGTATCTACAGGGTCCTGGTGAGCTGGTGGTGGCTGCCACATATACGCCATCCACACCCCTGCAGCTCCTCAGTCCTGAGGGGGCTGCTGCTGTGACTCAGTGCAAGTGGCCAACTGAGGCATGAGGTTTGGCCCTGTAAGTGCTTCTGTTGGGCTAAAAACCCCTCTTAGAAAGCTGCTCTGGAGCTGAGCCTGAGACAGGAGCAGGAAAGCCCAGTCAAAGCGGAGGGAGGAAGGCATCGTCCTGCCCAGGATGGACTCAGGCCAAGTATGGCAAGGAAGGTGGCAGGAGGCTGGGGATATTTGCCTTGTGCCTTCTGTCTGCACCCTAACATCAGGCTGCGTTCTGGGGTCAGCAGCCCCTGGGTCATTGCTGGTGTGAGCCTTCCCTCTGCCCTTTCCTGTCCTCGTGGCCCTGGGGACAAGGAGTTCAGACATGGAGACCTGAGGTAACACGTTTACTTAGCAGACAAGGGAGACTCCGTCGGTGGGGTGGCTTTTGGAACAGCTGCATGGGCAGTACTGTGCTGTAATAAGGGTCATCTATCTCTTTCTGGAATTGTAGCTGGTATGGCAGCTTGATGGCACGTTGTGCAGAAGTGAAAGGAAGACCAGAGTGTTCCGGAGTACAGGAGGCATCTGAGAGGGGACAGCAGAATATAGGTGGCTGGGGTTCAGGGGGAGAAAGGTAGGCCAGGGACTCCCAGGCCTCCTTACCCTACCTTCCCATCAGCCCCCTGCCCAGCCATACTCACTGCTTGTTCAGTCCTAGATACACTTCTCTGTTGGGGAGAAAGAACATCAGAGCAGGCAGGGGTGTGTGTGTGTATGTGTGTGCGTGTGTGTGCGCACACATGCATACACACACACACACACACACACACACACACACACACACATGATCTCTGAGTTCCAGGACTCCTGCACTGCCATTTCTGCCTCAGGCCCAGGCTGGACAAGAAGCAGAGGATCTGGAGATTCCCTGAACTCAGGGCCTGGTCCCTGGAAAGTAAGGACATTTCCATATGAGGAATTATCAAGCCCCAGTGGAAGGGGGAGGTGGCACAGGACAGCAAGACCCAAGGTGTGGAGAGGAGGTGGCCCAGGAGAGAGAACCCCTAAGTGTGGAGATGACTTGGCCCAGGAGAGCAACACAAGGTGTGGGGAGCGGCTGGCCCAAGGCAGGGACCTGGGCCTAAAATTCTCATCTGGGCCAAACTTGGCTAAGATGTCAGGGAAAGCACTTAGAGCCCTGGTCCCTGAGGACCCACGGACCCCAGGTGGGAGCTACTACCTTTCCAGTGACTGGATCAGGGGACTGAGTTTATCCACTTCCCTTTCCCAGTGGGACAGCCTCAGGTCTAAAGAGACCCCACATCCCCTGCCCATCTTCCAAGCTGTCCATTACCCATGGGAACAGTGAAGCCGATGTTGGCATCCCTGAGGCCGAGGTGCTTGGCAAAAGTGACAAAGTCCTCCTTCAGTTCGGGGCTCACCTCCGTAGTTCTTGCTGTGGCCAGGATGGTCAGTGAGTGACCACAAAAGAAACACTTCATAATTGTTTTAAGTTTTTTGAGACAAGGTTGCCACACGGTTCAGGTTGGCCTTAAACTCACGAGCCTCCCACCTCAGCCTCCCCGGTGCTAGTAGGACAGGCATGGGGCAGCAGACATGGCTCAGGCCTTAAATGCTGCTGGCTGAGGCAAGCAGGTCTCAGACCCCTCTCCCATGGAAGGTCAGTGAAAAGACCTCCACCTGGAAGGGGGATCGAGGTGGAGAAGACTTAGGGATCTTCGGGTATAGGGGTCCCCTCCCCCATGTGACCAGGAGGCAGGTTGCTGAGGGAATGGTGTGAGGATGCACCATAGAGGTCCATCCGGAAGTACACTCTGTTTCTGATAATCTGCTTGATGCACACAACAGCAAACTCATTGTAGTTGGTGGCTGCCACTCTCATGGTGTAGCTCTGTACTCCATGATGACCTGCAGTGTGGACAGCCAGGGGTCATTCCTGCCCTGGTCAGCAGAAAGGGTCTGATCCCTTCCTCCATGACCAGTCAGCAGGTGCTGTCACAGGACACCATTGCCATGTGGGCAGGGAAGCTGGTGCCCTCCTGGGAGGACTCTGTCCTCGGAATCCCACTGACAGGGTCCCACCACTCAGGACTCACGTTTCATATTGCCCATGGTGAACTGGCCACACTGGACACTGGGGACAAAAGTTCTAATAAAGTGTTCACAGACCTGGCCCCTGTGGCAGGAGGTGGGGGGGGGGGGGGGTTAGCAGGGAGATGACAAAGACTTGGTCCCATGGATCCACACATAGTAGGGTCAGGCTAGAGCAGGATTCTGAAGCCCAGTCTAGCCCAGCCCATGACAGCCTGTCCCCAACTCTGGCAGGGGCCACACCCAGCCTGCTCCATGGCCCTGGGCCTTCCTCTCTGAGCCTATCTGGTCTTCAGGGATCGCTCAACCCTCCTTTTAGCACTCACAGGATCCTGCACTGCCTCCCCGGGGCAGCCTGCCCACACATAGACCCCAGGCACTGAGCCCTGCTCTTATCTTTCGGCTCCCCTTTCCCATCTCTCCTGGGGATTTACTCAGCTTCCAATCTGCTCCCTGCCAGGTACTGCTTTAATTTTGGGGCCACACCTGACCTCTTTCCTGATCCACCTCATCCCTGCACCTGGGACAAGCTTACAAATCTTGCTCTCCTTGTGCCCCTTGATCCTCAAATGCTCCAACTCCAATCCATGCAGTGACCAGAGGCAGAACACATTGCAGGTGGAAGAGCCCAGGCTCCCTTTCTGAGTCCTCATCTGCCCCACCTCTGCCATCTCCTGCCTGGGACCACCCAGCCTTACCTTCATGGCTGGCCCCTTCTCACCTCATGAAGCTGTGCCAGATCCTAACCTTTATAGGAACCCCAGGCTGGGCCCTGGCTCGGGGTGAGATGCCCCAGAAACTGGCCTAGGAGCGCTCCCTCCTGGCTGCTCATGAGCCCCTGCTCAAGTGGCCATGCTGACACTTGGCTGCTTTGATGCCTCCTAAGGTGAGGCTCTCTGACTAGAGTACTCCAGACCCTCCCTTTTTGTTGTTGTTGTTGATGATGGTAGTGGTAGTAGGTATTGAACGGAGGGTCATGGCCATTACCTACATCCCCCACCTTTTTTTTTTTTTTTTTTTTGAGATGAGGTCTCCCTGTGTTGCCCGGGATGGTTTCAATTTTGCAGTCCTCCTGCCTCAGTCTCAGGAGATGAGCCTGCTAGGAATACAGGCATGTTGGCACTAGTAAGGTCACATCCCTACCAGGCCTACATTGTGGCACTGGTTGGCATCCCAGGCTGGGTCCAGTGTCCCCCTCCCCTGACACACTTCTCTATGTCTTATTTTCTTCTGACTCTGTAGTCATGCTAAAACCACCCATGAATATTGATGGAAGGCAAGGAAAGAAGAAGAGAGAAGAAAAGAAGTAGGGAAAAAGGAAAGAAGGGAGGGAGGGAGGAAGTTGGAGTCCATGCAGAGTAGTAAGAAGAATGACAGTATCTCTCACCTTAGGCCACCCCTTGACTGTGACATCAGTCTGCCTCTCAGACCCCTAGGAGGTGGCAACTTTACCTGAGCAGGGTGGAGTTGGCAATGTAGCTGTGGTCATATTCCAGCTCATAGATGATGCTGGACATATTTATCTCCTTTTCACTTCTGTTCAGAATTCTGTTGTCTGCTGTAGCTATGGTGTACCATTTCCCCTGGAACTGCAAAGGTCTGATGACAGGCAGAGCCCAGGGATGAACCCAGAGCCACCCCTCCCATGTTCTCCCTGCTGCTACCTCTGGGCAGCTCTCTGGGGCAACAGAGCCCAGGGAAGGGTCTGCCCTGGAAGCTGACAGCAGCTGGGATCCTCCAGGTCCAGGAGGGACACTGGGTGAGGAGTTCACCCTGAGTTGTGGGATGGGGTGGCCCTGGGCAAGTGGCTGGTATCCCTTCTGAAGCCTCAGTCTTCTTGTCTGTGCAGAAGGACTGAAGATGTCCCCACCTGGTATGCATTGAGTCTAGACTCTACCCCTGGTCCTCCCACCCTACCTTGCCCCTGAGTCCTTCAGCTTCTCTTCCCGTCTGCTCTCACTGTCCTTTCCCCCCACGCCCTGGCTGCAGCTGCCCTTCCAGAGTCCTTACCTTGTCATCACGGAAGTCTGGCTGCACAGGAATCTTGCTCAGAGGTGGGCTTGGCAGCAGTGTTGGTGAGAAGTCCTGAGCTAGGGTCTGCAGGGCCTCCAGCAGGATGAAGCCCAGATACAGAAGACCTAGGGCCATGGTTTCAGGACAGCTGCTAGGCTGGCCGGTGTTGCAGGAGGAAGAGGAGAGATGAGACCAAGCTGGGGGAACTATTTATGGGCTACCTGGCTGTTGCCTTCCCCAGGGTGGGCTGATCCATCCTTTGCTAAATCAAAGAAGGGTGAGTCAATTGCCAGCAAGTCCTTCAGAAACACATGACAAGATATCTGCTCTGTTTTTCCTCCCTGGTCGGGATTGTGCAAGGTAGAGAGAAAAGAAGAAGAGAAGGGATGAAAGGAACATTCCCAGAGCTTGACATTCTTACAGGGCTCCCTGTGGGTGTTCATTGTGCCTCTTCCATGCATTTGATTGGCCCTTTATGTCAGTCAGGAGCTCAGGTCCTAACAAGCTGTCATCTCTCACTCTGTTCCCAGGGCAGATTTTGTGGCAAGGCCCCTTCCCTATACCTGCAGAAAGCAAAGAATGTGCTGTGCATGGTGGAGCATGGTGGTGTATGCCTGCAATCCCAGCACCCAGGAGGCTGAGGCAGGAATACTGGTGAAGTTGGAAGCCAGCCTGAACAACTTAGCAAGACCCTGTCCAAGAGTGAGGGAGACAGAGAGACAGAGAGGGCCAGGGATGTGGCTCAGTGGCACCATGCCTGCCTGGCAAGCGCAAGGTCCTGAGTTCAATTTCCGGTACCACAAAAAAAAACAGAGAGCGAGGAAAAGGAAAGAGAAGGGAAGAGGAGGGGAAGGAAGGAAGGGGAAGGAAAGAAAGAAAGAGAAAGAAGAAAGAAAGAACCACCGCCAAGCACTGAGGAGCAGAGTCCCCCCTCCCCCAGTGCCAAGGAGGTGAGCTGCACAGGTGCCAGCAGCACATACACACACACACACCCCGCCCCCAAGGCTGTGCCGAGAAATTACTTGGATCCATACCACAGAGTTGCAGGTGTCATAAAGGAGATTGTTCTGAGCTCCAGAAGATAGAGCAGAAGTGAACAACAGAAAGAGCGCCTCTCTGAGGCTCCTTTTTGAAAATTGAAGCCCACTGGGAAAGTGAAGAAAATCTCTGCAATAAAGGCACACCAGACCACCTTAGTTGGGGGAGCAGTGGTGTGGACCACAGTGGCACAGCTGCAAGCAAATCCCAGCCAGGGCTCTTCCCTGACCTCAGAAGCTCAGGCACACTGGCCCAAGCCAAGGGACCACCTGGAAAAGAGCTGCACAGGCACACAAGCAACAAACAGAGGTTCACCTGGACATCATCGGTAAGTGCACGAGACCCTAGTCAGAAGCTTGCTCACACAACAGAAACTGGGGTGCACAGCCCCCAGCCAAAGGGCCCCCCAGACAACAAGTACATAAGGGCCCTAGCCAGTGGCTCACCTAGGTATCATCCCAAATGTGCACAGGCCCCATCCAGAAGCCCATCCAGACAACAGATCAGCTCAGGGATCCAGAAGGCCACCTTTCTGAATCCATGAATTAGTGTACTGGTGAGCAGCAGAAAAAAGGCTGCTCAGTGGCTTGCTGAGAATTGAAGACCACTGGGTAAGCAAAAAGTTGCCTCAACAAAGGCACAGCAGGCTGCATCTTTTGAAATGAAAAGACATGCAAACAAGCCTCAAAACCAGACTTCCAGACCACTTAAGGCAACCCCAAAGGGAAACGAGATAGAACAATCTGATACTCAACCACCTAGATGCCCTGAACTGGCAACAAAAGAGGGTCTGGAAAAAATGAAATCAGAAATAGTTTCTCAGATAACAACAGAGGTTGTGGCCATAGTGCAAGACATGATTAATAAATCTAGAGCAGACAAAGATTAAAAAAAAATAGAGGAGCTGAGAAACAAGATGGAATCCCAACATAGGAAACAAATGGAATCCACAAAACAGATGCAAACATTTCCAGGAGATTAAAAACTCCACTGAAAGTTTGCACAGCAGAATGAGCCAATGAGAAGATAGAATTTCAGATATAGAAGATGGGATATCAATTAGTGACCAGGAAAAGAAAATTTCTTTAAACTAGTAAGGGAACATAAGAAATCAATCCAGCAGCTGCTAAACAATGCAAAGAAGAGTAACATAAGACTGATTGGAGTCAATGAAGAAACAGGAGAGAGTGCAGGTGACATAATAAAAAAAAAAAACCTGTTCACAAACTTCCCAAGCAGGACAAAAGAACTTAACATACAGATAAGTGAGGCATATAAGACTCCAACAAGCAGTGATCAAAAAAAAAATCTACACATAGGCAAATAATAGTTAAGATTCCAGAAACCCAACAGAAGAACAAAATTCTACAAGAAGTTAGAGAAAAGAAACAAATCACATACAAAGGAAAGCCCATCAGAATCACAGCAGACTTCTCAACACAAACCGTCAAGGCAAGAAGAGCTTGGAGTGACATATTTCAAGCCCTAAAAGAAAACAACTCCAATCCATATTGATACACCCTGCAAAACTATCTCTCAAAATTGATGGAGAAATAAGATACTTTCATGACAAAGAGTACCTGAGGAACTTCATGAATTCCAAAACAGCACTACAAAAAATTTTAGACAATATCCTAGGAAAAGACAATGAGGATCACAACCCCATGAAGCCCAGCAGAATGAATCCATCGGGCATGACAAGAAATTAAATGCAAAGGGGGAGAATCCAGCAAAAAGATAAAGTCATGACAATGATAAGTCAATTTGTATCAGTTATACCATCAATGTTAATGGTCTTAATTCACCAATCAAAAGAAATAGACTGGAAGAATGGGTCAAGAAGCAAGATCCCAAAATATGCTGTATACAAGAAACACACTTAATTAAAAAAGAAACTCATACACTGAAAGTTAAAGGGCGAAAAACTGTACTCCATGCAAAAGGAACCTGAACAAAAGCAGGAGTAGCTATCTTCTTTGCAGATCAAGTGGGTTTCAAACCAACACTGATTAAGAGAGAGAAAGAAGAACACTACATCTTTGTAAAGGGAACAATCCAATGGGAAGAGATGACAATCATAAATATCTATGCACCAAACACTAGTGCACCCAACTATATAAAACAAATACTAATGGACATGAAAAATCAAATAAGCACTAATACAATAGTAGTGGGGGACCTCAACACCCCACTGTCACAAATAGATAGATCAACTAGACAAAAAATAAACAACCAAATAATAGACCTCAATCAAACTTTTGAACAAATGAACTTAACAGATGTTTACAGAGTGTTCCACCCCGCAAAATCAGAATACACACTTTTTTCAGCTACACATAGATCGTTCTCCAAAACAGACCACTACTCACTCATAGAATGTGTTTAAGTAAGTGCAAAGGAATTGAAGTTATCCCCTGTATATTACCAGACCATAGTGCGATGAAATTGGAGATCCATAGCAAAAGAAACTGCAAGAATTTCATAAACACATGGAAATTGAACAACACACTTCTGAATAACCAATGGGTCACAGAGGAAATTAAAGAAGAAATC